CATCAAAGCCATTAAAGAGACAAGAATCAGCAACTCTACAACAAGATATAAATATGAAATCAATAACAGGAATATATAAGCTGTCACCTGCATATAAATGAATTTTACTCCCAACATCTACAAATCCAAAAAAAGCACAAATGTAACGCACAGGTGAACTCAACCTATTTTTCAGTCAGTTGTTAAACAAATTTATTACAAATATCTTCTTATTGATTATACAGTTTACATCACTCTTCAAAATTATACACATCCTTCATTATCTTTATATGGTATTTGCATTCTAAATATTTTAAAGCTAGAAAGAGCACACTGCAATCATTACTTTTATACCTGTAAGTGTTCTGTAAGACACATCTTTTGCTATCATTATTAATTTAGGATGTTCTGAACCATAATCTGAGCCATTTAGAAGGCAATGAAGAATTAGAAAAGCAATGGTTAGATAACTCAAAAAAGAACATATTTCCCTGCTGTCATGGTTTGAGATAGTCCCAAAATCCAATTCCCTAGCTCCATTCCCCCCCCCCCCACATCTCAACCTAATCTGAGATGGGTTTTTCCAGACAAAACACACCAGACTCAAAGTGGGGGAAAGGGAATATATTACAATGACTGTACAAATAAATACCATATCATATTATACACACGATCACAACTATCTCTACCATGACATATGTATTTACAGTGGATCAGATCTCTTCTCCCCTCCAAATAAAAGTCCAGGAGGGAAAGAAGGACAGATCCCTTCCAATCCTTAAGCAGCAGCATCTTCTGAGGCAGCAGTCTGTCTGTCTTCTCCACATGCAGCAGCTGATAGCTGGCTTTCTGCCAGCACTCACGAGGGAGGTATTCAAGCCTCTCTCGGCCCCATCGCCTCCAACCGAGGGGTCTTCCGTGGGCTTCGTAACCCCAGACAAGGTCGTATCACCACGTCATATCACGAAGACACAGGGGGGTCTTCGTGACGGTCTGGTATCTCCAGGAGACTCAGCTCCTTGCAGGGCCTCTGTGCCCTGTCTCTCAGGCTGCCACCGTGGCAGCAGTGCAAGGGGGGGAGCCAAGGTCAACTCCCCCCGCATTCCTCTGGCCGTCCCGGTCCAGCTCCGGGACGCTCTGAGCTTCTCAGCTCCTCTCTCTCTCTGGTGCTGCATGTCTAAAACTGCTCTCCAAAATAGGAGTCCATGTCCCTCTTCTCCAAGAGGGGTCTCAAGGGAGTTTTAGGGGATCTGGTACAGTCTTACCCCCAGAACTCTGTCTCTCAGGCTGCTGGCTCTCTTTCTCCCGGCTCTCCTTCCAGGAGTCCTTTCTCTGGTGCTGCATGTTGTTTCTGCTGCTCCTCCAGTTCAGGTCTTATCTCTGGCTCTCTGCCACCGTTTCTCTGGTCAACTCCGGCTGCTGCTCTGTGCCCATGGAGAAAACATCTCCCGGCATAACTACAGGCACCTAACCCAGCTTTATGCTGTTCCAGGTCCCCGCAGCCCCCCAGCCAGGGGCTGGGAGGCCCCAGAGGGCCCAAGGGGCTCAGAGCCCCTTCCTCGTGGCTCTACAACATGGCCACTTCTCCTCCAACCAAAACTACAACTCATCTCTTCCGGTGAGATTGTGGGATGTTGACATTTTTGCAGGAGCGCCCATTGGACAGAATTCCAAAACTTCCAGGGGTTTCCACCCCTCGGGGTCTACCACTTTTCTAGCCTCTGGGGGAAAACAAGGTTCAAACCACGACACCTGCCTAGCAGAAGCACTTATGCACATATTTAGTTTTAAATAGTTCATTTATTTCTGAACAATTCATCAGATTCATACTTATTTCCACTAATTTTCATTATTTATCTAGAATGAAGTGTGCTATATTATCTGTGTACACATTAATTCTATCTGATACTGTTCCCCACTTCTCTAACAGCTAGGTTGATGCGATCTTTTCTTTCAAATTTCTTAACCTCAAAAAAAGAAACTGCTGGTTCACAACAGCATATCTTCAACTGAAAAAAGATTTCCTAACAGCTTTGTGATACCGCGTCCTTGAAACTGGTTTATTTCTCCTTTTCTAACTTATTTTCAGATGTACAAGAAATGTCACTTGTATTTTGTCAGAAAAAGAAAGCAAAACTCATGGGAACATAACGCACACAGTTTATTAAAGTCACAACATTAGGAGAAGATACTGCTAGCTTGTCGGAGAAGTAAGTGCTTCTTTTCAAATCTGAACTTCAGCCTTTGTGAAATATGCTGTAGGAAGCCCTGGATATGAATCACCCAAACTGTCCAGATTATGCTGCTTGAGAAGCAGCAGTGAAAAATTTTCTATGTAACCAAATCTGTTCTAGACAGAGAGAGATCTTGTTATTTCAAGACTCGAGACTTTGATGAAAGTACATCAACATGAAGAAAACAACATGGTTGATAACCTCATGGAATACAGGCAATTAGGACTTTTTGATACAGGATGGTTACTCAACAATAACATTGCTAATATTCACACAAAAAGTCAAATGTTTAAGTGAAAAAAAAAAAGAAAAAAAACCAAATACCTTCTTCCGTGAAAGCTGCTAGACCTGTCAGAATTTTGAGATGAAAGAACTGAAAAGCCAAATTAATTGACTACCCTACTGGAAGACGCACACATTAAAATAAATGGCAAAGCAAGAAACCTCTAAAGGCTTTCAGAGCAAAACAAAAAACTCACATCTCAGAATGCATGTAGGAGAACCCATAGATACCATATTGCAAGGCAGAACGGTAAATGTTTTAACATCTCTCACTTAAAATCTTCATGTCAAGTGTTCCCTGGACTTTGATGTGTGTTATTTGCTGGAATTCTTTAGCCAGTTTAATAGGTACTGTAAGAAAATGTTGATTTAATAATACCGAAAAACAGCCTCACCTGGAGACACTAGTAGGTGCAGTGGTTAAACCCTGGTGGACAACTAATTACCATGCAATTGCTTGCCCATTTCCCTTCCCACCACCAACCAACTCTGGATAGTAAGAAGAATTAGAAAAAGGTAAAACCGGTGGACTGACATAAGAACAGATTAATAACTGAAATAAAAGAAAAAATTAAGACCATAATATAATGATAATTAACAATAATAATAATAGTAATAGTAATAATAGTAATAGTAATAATAATAATAATGGGATTAAAATCCAAGAAACCAAATTTATATACAATACAACTGCTCACCACCTGTCAACTGATTCTCAGCCTGTCCCTGCGCAGCAATCAGGACTTCTACTTTATGTACTGAGCATGATGTTCTATGGAATGGCATACCACTTCGGCCAGTTCAGATCACCTGCCCTGGCCATGCTCCCTCCTGGCTTCTAGTGCAGCTTCTTACTGGCAGCACTGGAAACACATTATTTGATTACTTTATTATCTCATAATGATACATAACTACTTATAAGTTTATTAGACACTGCCAACTCATTATGAATCACTTTTGCCCCAAGACTGCTTCAAAATTAGAAATTCCCTATGGCAGAAATAGCAGTCAGCATAAATTTCTAGGAAGTATGAGGAAAATGTGCTCAAAAGATCTCTGCCTGTATTTTCAGTCAAATTTTGCACTGCTGGTGACTTACACAGAGAAAACAAAGCAACAGGCAAAGGTAAGTGGTTAAATTTATCTCAAAAGACAAATAGCAAACGCTGCATTGCTTATTCTACTTCAGTGAGAATTTGTCTTGAAAATATCCTTCTTTTTTTCCTTACTCAGGTTTCTGGTGCAGCTGGAAACTCAGATGAAAAATTAGCTAACCAATAGTCCCCGAGACACGTTTGTTCAAAACCTGCTTCATCTTCAGCGGACACCTGAGGAGAAACTAGTTAAAAGCTTGACAGATTCAACACATGGCAAAGCATCTTTTGTTGGCAGTACTTTAAATTGCTATGAGGGAAGGCGTATCGGTGAACCAGAAGTCAGCAGAAGGAAAGAAAAAGCCACTGTTGCCTCCATCTTAGAAAAAGGTGTCATATACAGAATCCCAGAGGTTCAGAAAAACAGCAAATTTTCCAAATTAATTTTAAAAATTTTTAAGTAAATCTTATTTATCTATCTGTGGAAAAATATATATTCTAAGAGTGATATTAAGTTTAGCACTAGTTTCACATCAGGTAAAAGGACAGATTCTCCAGTTCATACCCTCTGACCTTCAGAAGAGTCAAATTTAGACCCTACAGATGCAGGAGAACAAATAAGTTTGTTTTTAAATTACAGTTGGATAAGCTGATGAACAGGATTATAAGATGTGCTCAACTGTAATAACAAAGGTCTGTGCTTGATGACAAGAGTTTTTTGAAGTTTCTTACATCCCAATGACATATATCAATGCAAAAAAATTTCCAGAACTATTCAAATACAAGTGGATTAGATTTAATGAAGTACGGATTAGACTCCAAACAAAATGAATCATATGTCTGAAAGGTATCTGAGAGTATAACAGAAAACAAAATAAATCAAATTAAATAGGATTGCCTGAATGATTCTATTATAATGGTAATCGCCCCTCCAACATCTGCTGCTTCTTCTTGATCTTAGTTCAAGCCACAAGCAAGTCTTCTCAAGCTGAACATCAAGTCAAGTGTTTTGCCTCCTCCAAGATCTTCACTGTATTTAAAACTATCAGTCATAACCTGGTTTTACTACAAATCAGAGATTACTTGCTTTGGGGTGGCCTTGTACGAACACCCTCCGAATTGGCTTGGACTAAAGATGTGCTTAAATACTTGGCCAATACATAATAATAAAAAATAATAAAAAAGCATGAAAGGACCAGTGAGTATGGGGCAACTGATTTCCTTTTCAATTTCCAGTTTTGTCTTCTAGAACTCTCTTCAGAAAGGGAGGAGACAAAGCTTATAGACACAAAATTCTCTGTAGATTAAATACTTAAAGTATCAGGTCAAATGCATTCTAGAGTGTATAAAAAACGTTCTTGTACAGATCTTCTGAATCCCGCCTCTCCTCCCATGGGATACTGACACATCACCCACCCTGCAAGATGGAATGGGTGTATATATAGAAGCAAATACACACCACTTCCTTCTCCTGGATAGAAAAAGGCCTCTATAGACAAAAATAAGCATAGGAAAGCCAGTATCAAGGAGCATAAGCCTGCTTCAAGGCCATCAGAAATGGGAAGGAACCAATGAGGTGTGTTTGGACCACCCCATTTCTGTTACTCTGATAGGAAGTTCAGATTGTTTTGTGTGCAGAATGCTTTGTGTGCAGAACCCTCCTCTAGTTCTGGATTTAAAAGGTTCTTTTTATAGTTAAGGATGCTCAATGATTTCATTATTAGCCAGTTTCATTTCTCTGTATATATGAAGGAAAAATCCATACTGCTTGACAAAAAGGAATGCAAATGTAAAGGAATTATTTATCCCTTTTGACTAATCAGATAATGAATTCGCTAGGGGAGGGGGGGGAACATGACACAACAATTTTCATTACAATCTAATTAAAATTATTACTTGTCTCACTACAGCAATAAGTCAACAAACTTGCTTGCATTTCTTTGTACTCACAAATTATACCCATATATGCCTGACAACAATTCAGCACACTTTTTGTTCCAAAGAATAAAAAACTCCTAAAAAACAAAGTATGCTTTAAAGCCCTTTTCAAGAGATTGACTTACTCTCTTTTGAGTTCCACTTCCCGCTTGCGAAAGCTTTCCAACTTACCTGAATACTGATGTACAAGAATGCAATCTGCAAAGCTGCAGGAAAGGCATGTGGTTTTTCACAGCCACAAGACATATGTGTATATATGTGTACTCATATGATGGGTATGCCTTCAGGTTAGACAGGGCAACTGATGGATACAACTATCCTGCCAGCCTGGTGCCTTGCAAACATACCTTCAGTCAACCTTCTCTGAGCCTGGATTTCTCTCTAAGACATACAGACCTGGCTGCCAGTGCAGTAACCTGGTACATTCTCTTCAGAGAGAGTTGAAAGCCAGAGACATATTGTAGAGCTGTGCTGGGAATGTGTTCCAGTCAATCTCTGTGTCAGAGAATTAGGAGGTGAGGTGTAAGGAGTGTGTCACAGTCACAGCATGGGAACTTTACAGGTTTTCTTCTGGAAAGAGAAAAGATAAATGATTATGAGCACCTTTTCTTTCTGGAGGCAAGTCTGAACAATAAAGCCTGTTCTCATAAGTCTAACTCCAATCTCACACTGGAGACGAGACTGTAACATATTTTCAGTGAGGCTATGAAGACTCTGCCTGCAATAGGCAGTCTCCCTCTGAAAAGCATGATAGAGTAGGTAGGAGGAAAGATTGGCTCTGTTACAGGTTCCATTTCTAACACAGTGCTCATTTAGCTCGTTTATAATAGTATTACATTAAATTGTCCTGTAACAAGTTGGCAATGGGTACTTTAATGCAAAATCAGGTTTAGTGAAGGTAGCTACAAGTCAAAAATATTAATCTGCCTCTTCTCATTAATCATAAGGCAATTTACATGCTCTGGCCATATGCATTCTTAATAAAAATAATATCAGCAGTCATAGGAATGATCCAGTTATAATAAATTTTGCAATATTCACATTTTCAAATAAGATGGATAACAGCTGTGTTCAGCAAAAAATAGGATACATTTTTTTCCCCCCATGTAAACTTTTAAAATGTGTTGACATGTCAAGGACCTAAAATACTACATCTTCATAGTAATCTTAGGTTATTATGTTATTTTATACCTGTTGATACCTCTATTTTAATCATGATTTTTATAGATTTTCTACATAATGATTCACCACAATCTTTTATTAATTTACCATGACCAAAATTTCTTGCAAGCATAAAGCATTTATTTCACTGCTACAGCATCTAACCTAAGGATTTCAAAAAGTTAAAAATTGTCAGCTAATTAATTCTAACAACACTGCAATAATTTGACAAAGGTTATATAGATTTCATTTCAGCCACCAGCAAAATACCTTATCCTCTGATGTGAAATGCAATAGCTGACTAAAAGGTCTCAATAAAATAATATTTTGGGTCTTTTTCTACCATGTGCTCTGCAGTTTCTATTATCTAGTTGTAGATTATCTGGGATCTTACAGAATCAGACATTAAATGACTTCAGAGAACACATATGTTTATGTAGAAGGGGTCAAGAAACACATGTGGTTCTCTGCAGAAGGCATAGACTTAAAAAAATGAAAATCTGGAATTAATATAGACTGTGCCTGCTTGGCCAGATGTCCTTCTCACGTTAGCAAAATGATTTAGCCATAGCATTTGTCAGTATTACATTTTGGGACCCCTTAGTGCAATTATCGCACTAGTAATTTAACTGTTACACCATCAACTTGCAAATGTTCACTTAAATTGAAGCACATGGCAGTATCTCTATGCTTATAAAAGACATGATAAGCCACATCCTTCTAGCATGCACTTCAAAAAAACAGGTTCATTAAGCATACGTTTCACACAGCTAATTATAGAAACAACTACAGAAAATATAGGAGTGCAACAGATGACATTCTTGAAACATCCTGATCTGCATGAGGTAAAATCCCAACACATCTCAAGAAATATGGTCAAAAAGCTATCCCGTTCAGGGAAAGAACTGCCTGTCAAACTACTAGCAATGTATCAAAAATATGACATTTCTTAAAAATCCAGAATCACAGTTTATAATTCTCGGTCATCCTGCAAACACTTTGAAGCATCACTGTAGTTGCAAAGCAGGCATTAGTCATTTTAAATTACAGACTATCCTGAAGGATTCAAGCCTAGTTTAAAACTACTTTCAGTTTTGTTCCATGCCTAGACTGGACACAAACCTGAAACATTTAATCTTTTCTTACAAAGGTGGGGGGGGGGAAGTACAGGTTATACATTTGGTACAAACTGAACCCTTTGGCTAAACTATGTGCTATGCTTCCTGAGAGGCAAAGCACACGGGAAAAAAGTGTATGACACCTTTACTCATGCTGCATTTTGAACTACTCTAACAAAGAACAGTGTTGATGGACAACATGAAGCCACATGAACCCCTCCTTTCATTGTCTGCAGATGCTTTCTTTTCTTAACTCTCTGATTTGGAAGTGTATGGAGAAACTGCATAGAATAGATGGTACACATTTGTATGGCTTACCACATTTAATTTAGATATTGTAGTTACTGTGGCTTTTCAGGTTTTGAGAATTGTATGCCATTTAGATCTCACATTATTTAGGAATGCCAGACCATGGCTCCCTAGAAAGACAGTTGAGAGGTCACTGAAGCTTAATCAGTTCTATAATCACAGCACAGTTCATTCCCTGAAAAAAGGACTCACCCCTGTACCCTTTCAGCTCCAACAGCCACACAACACTATGATCAAAAGAATGACCTCTCTAATTCTGATGTCTGACTCATTTCCAGGAACAGTCTTCCAAAGTGCTGTCAGTGTGTGAGCCACGTACTAAGATGTTGAAAAACAGCATGCAGGGTGATCATGAATCATCAAGCCGAACTAAGCAAAAGACAAACACTGTGAAGCAGGTGCACGCAGAAGAAAGATGGAATGGGGAAAAAATAAGCGTACATATATATAGGCATTTGCTTCCCCCTCTCCTTTCTCCTAAATTATATTTTTGGCAGCTTTTTCTCTATTTTCCTGCTACTTTGTGACTCCTAAAACACTTAAATACAAATCTTGACATTAGAAAAAAAAAAGGCAGAAAATCTGCAAAAGGACAACCTCTGTCTCTTTTCAGAAGGGAACAAGAAATACTTTCTCCCTCCATCCTCCAAATAGGATGGGAACCACAGCAGTGAAGAATTTTCTTGAATCTTCTTCAATCATTTTTTTCTAATGTGCTGAAAATGTGTCTCCTGCTTTCATCTTCCCTGTCTCTATTCCTTCCCTTTGCTTTATTCTCATGATAAAATGGTGCGTATCATTAACAGTCTTTAATGGACTTAATATTGTTTTGATTTTTTTTTCTTCCAGAGATATGGTTGGTACCTGCAGCTGCTTATAAAGTATTTCAAACAACCTAAAACAAGTGGCCTGAATGATTCAAGATTATTGGTAACGGCAAACAGAGCCTTTCAACTTCATAAGACAAATTAAAATGCATCATAAGATGATAGTGATGAAAGCCACATGCAATTATGTCCTAAAGTTTTATATGAAACAAATGTGGTGTGCTCAGAGATCTATTCCATATCAAGAAACCCGCTACATGTGGCATTGGTTAACAGGAGCTGGCAGTCTCCAAAGAATGGTTGCAGAACCAGTGCTTTATGAAAATTAATTGCTCTTTTAGCCCTGGAAGAGGTGCTTTAGCTCAGAATTTACACACTGCATAAAGATGTGTTAGGTACAGTAAGCCTTTAAGCAAAGTGGTAAGGATGTGGACCAATTCCATGACCACTTAACTCTTCTCTGCTGCTCAGGGATCTCTGTGAAGTTTAACAGTAGAGATATTCATAGTACCAGATGGTCTGGAATTTGACTACACAGAAGATGGAGTGGGAAGGAAAGGAATAACCTTTACCTTTACTGAAATAATCAAACTGTATAACACAGTTTAGTCAGAGTACTCTTTTTTTTACTTTTGTTTTAATTGTGCTTCCTTCTTTTTATAAAAGGCACTACCATCAGGCAGCCCTGATAGCTGGCTCCAGGAAAACAAAGGTGCCAAGACACAGGGAGAAAGCAGACCTGCCCTTGGACCGAGACAGCAAAGCGGAAGATACAAATATAACTTGTGTGTGCACAACCCATCTGACCACAGTTCCCTCACAACTATCCTTCCTGACAACACTGAAGAACAGTGCATAAAGACTATCTCAGTCCCCAGCTAGTTATTGCTACCAGTCCTGATACTACTGTTATGATGCAGGAGATACTCTACAGCTGACGTCCCCAGACCAAAGACATTGGTCTCTGAAGAATACCAGAAGAAAATGAGCATTCCATGTAGCCATACATTTCACATATCTTCCAGTTGGTTCTCGGCATATCTCTTGCTGCCACCAGAGACTCTTTAATTAGTTGAAAAGTGGAAAATCAAATATTAAAGGGTGCCTGAACTGCCTTACATCAACCAGTGTAAAGACAAAAAAAAAATTTGTTAATATTTTAGATTACTTTGGTCCTAATGTCTTATTTAATGTGTTTCTGGAACCCAAATTAAATTCAGAAAAGCAACACCATTGAAAGAGCAAAACCACACAACATGTACTTCGACACAATACAGGAATCAGGATCAAACCCAAGAGATCAAAACAACTCCATTCAATAATTCAAATTACTCAGTAATTAAAAAAAAAAAAAAAGAAAAGAGCATTTTATGGTCCATAAACCAATGTATCAGCTACTATTGCACTTAAATTTTTCATTCTACCAATGCTCCCTACAGATATGCAACACCTGAGCTCCAATAAGTAGGTAAAAGTGAGATTCTTATAGAAACTTTACAGGTAAACTCCATTCAGGGATTAGTTGTATTTCATGTAAGTAGAGTTCAGAGCACAAAAGGTGATAATACTTAAAACTATAATAGTAAATTAAATTCTTCTTCTAGTGCTCTTAAAGAAGAGTTTTAAGCATATCTTAAAACTCTTCAGCACTGTTTTACAAAAATAAACAGTGACGATCTGTTTTTTAGATGAGTTGGGTAAAGAAAGATTATCATTAGATCTGTCCTGAGCACAGACACTGCAGAGTCAGACACTCAAGAGAAATGGTCTGGGAACTTCTGAATGCTTCCTGAAATTCTAAACACAGATGGTTCCTCAGACATGTTTTTCTGGGCTCTGGCGCAAGTAGTAAAGGATTTTGCTCAGTTTTTTCCTATTCCTGTGCATTGTGCACCCTCTAGTGGCAAAAAAACCCAAAAAAACCCCAAACAACAAACAAACAAACAAAACCCCAAACAACAAACAAACAAAAAAACCAAACAAACAAAAAACCCAAACCAAACTAACAAACAGAAACATATTTTTCTCTATTTAAACCCTTTCTTGGCTTTACTGTCAATGCAAAACAAACCTTTTATTAAATGCATTCTACCCTATTTTCTCAGGGATTTCATCTATCTTTTATTTCATGCCACACAGCAGCTCAACACATTGATATGAATTTTAAATAGATTGTCACAAGGCTATTATTGTGCAGGAAGTATGTGGTTTCAAGAGAATTCTGCTGTAATCAAGGTCACTCGTGCCATCTCTAAATTAAAAAGATACCCATAATCAATAAACACCTCTCTTAGACACCTGGAATCTCGAAGTCCTATCCATCTTCTGCAGTCACACTGCAATATCCCTTAGCCTAGCACAATTTTAACGTAGTTTGCACAATACTGAACATGATTTTCTCTGGATTTCCTGATGTAACCAGAATACAAAGTAATGACAATGAGGAAGTCTGGAAATTACAAAAGAGGAGCAAAAAAGGATCAAGACTTACCAGCTAAGGACTACTCTTAACCATATGAAGGAGAAAAACAAACAAAACAAACCAACATAAAAACCAAACAAAAATTCAAAACCAAAACCAAACAAACCCCCCCCCAAAACCAAGAAAACCATGAGTATACCTTAAAAAGGATTTGTAAGCAAATTCAAGATTCTGGATGAGACGGAAGCAATGAAAACAAAATTCAAATTAATGATCCTAATTAGATAAAAATATTCAGAGCAAACACATCCTTACCCTAAGACACAGAGACTGGTAGATGTCTTACAGAAGGTTAAGGGATACCTACACGGGATATACACGGAAAAGTTTGCAGCTGCTCTGCACTGTGCCTGTGTCAGACCGATATTCTCTGAGATGGTAGAGCTCCTGTAATTTCTGTAAACCATCACACCAACCAAAGAGAAGTTAGTATCTGACTAACCCCTACTAAAGCTGTAAGTGGCCATGTTATGCTTTTAAATTATATTAACAGGATATAAAGGCCTCGTTTTAGAGGTCTGTGTACTTAAAATCAGTTGACAGATAGATGTACACATGGCTGACTTGCTGACTTTGACAAAACCAAGATGTCTTCTTTATGCTATTACCAGTTTTTCAGACAGAATTGCATGCAGTTGTTTCTATGAATGTACTTCATTCAGCAGCATGCAGCACTTGAACTGTTTCCAAAAATAGAATGAACTCCATTCTTTGTTTTTAATAAATCTGTTTTCCCATAATAATTGATTACAACATTGTCTTTATAGTTCAAATGGATAACTAGTAAAACTAATGTATACTGACTCAAGCAGCATAGAGTTTACTGAAAGGGGCCTGATCCTGGGCTTCTACAAGTAACATTTTTTCTTACAGGTCCTTGATAATTTACAGATAGGTCACTGTTAAACAGATATGCTACACTGACTACTGTTAAACAACAATGAGCAAGATTTTGGTAACAAGGACAGAATTAACTGGCCTCATAGCATATGGTTCAAAAAATGTTTTAGCAAACATCACATGTACTAATACTGTTACAGCTATTGTTTCAACATTACAGCATAATCACTTTATGCTCCTGAAAATTATCATTTTCAATTGTACATATTATGGTCCTAAAGATAAACTACAGTATCTCCTCTCTTATGGGTGCTATATCATTTTTAAACTTAGAAAAATTTAGTATAAAAGCTCTTAGGCTGATGAGCAAAATTTTTATCCTTTCATATCTAGCTTTCTAGTTCCAATGACTATTATCCATCTAAGCGCCTTCTCTGCTGTAAAATAAACATGTTTTGTAAACATTTAGTAATGAATGTTTATGGTGGGTTTTGGGGGGTTGTTTGCGTTTGGTTTTTTTTACCAAACACCTCACCTCCTTTGGAACTTCTTTCGCAGTTTTCTTGTAATCAGTGCAAATACCTAAAATACCTTAAATATCTTCATGGTTTTTAAGTCTAACATGAGATTATGTGAATACTCACAGAGTACTTTAACTTGGATTTATCCTGACAATTTTCTCCTCCATCTTTTGGCTCTCCATAGTATTGAAAAGGAAGAGCTGTCCCTGGCAAGTGCTGTTTTGTGTCAAATTTCAATTAAACAAATCATCTGAACTAATATTTCAAAAACAACATAATTTTGTATTTGCAAAGAAAGATCACACTCAAGATCAGGTACTGCACAGATTCTGTACATGTTCGAGACAGTGATTTTAAAATTCAGATGACAAATTTAGAACTATTTAGAACTAATACATGTACCCAGAGCAAATGCATATCATACATACGCGCATACAGAGAGGTAAAAACCAAACAAATTGCTTTGCTCTCTTTCAGCATATTTTGCTTGCTTTTTAGCATGAGAAAAGCACTAGATTTTCTGTACTGTGCATACACAGGTGCTCTTGGTGTCACTACCTTACACATAAATAAAACCAGACAAATACACACTTCCTAGCTTCTGTATTGCAAACAATCATGTTGTGTCATAAAATTGAACTAGCACATACAGTGAAAAGTTTATTTGTTTAAACACAAAATCCTTTTCTCTGGGAGATGGTATTTTTGTTTGCTTTAAGCTTTTCAGAAATCTGAGTGATCTGCTGGCTTGTACTCTCTCGTGTCTCATGAGAACCATCTAGTGACCGAGGCTCTCAGTCCGTGCTGCTGGTCTGCAATGGCGAACAATTACTCATGTTTGTAACACCTCCCCTGACTTGTCTTATTCATGCTTGTAACACCTCCCCTAATTTGTCTGCACTCAGACAAAATCACACGATTAACCTTTTTTTTTTCATCAGTGATTCATATATACTATTTGTTGCTTGGATTCCTTTGACATAAATAAGTACTAACGTTCAAATCTTTCACAGATCCCAAACATCACTTCAAATGCACAGTGCAACACGAATAGCATAGTGGTATCTCACTGGTAGGTTACACTGCCAGTTCCACATAAACTAGTTCAGGCACCAGCAGTCTAACTGGAGCCATGCTTATAACCAGGTAGTTTAATCTAGCTCTCAAGTGGGTTTTGATGCTGCAATTAAAAGTTTACTAAAGAGACAGCTATTTTAAAAGCTTGAGGATACCTAGCAGGCCATACAGGCACACTATTTGCCTGGTCAAAAACACCACTAAAGAAATCGGTAAAAGCAAGTTTAGTATTTCTGTGGAAACTCTGAAATTCCTTAAAGCCAAAATAATTTTTTTCAGATATTTAGTTAAAACAACTGAAATAGCCTGAATCAAAACACAGCATCCCCTGCTTTCTCACTTGCTATGTGTGAAAAGAGTATCTCTATCTCTTAAAAAAAAAAAAAGTAACAGATTTGTATACTTTTATCTTGTATTTCTGCCTTTTAAACTCAGTTTCAACTCAGTGAAGCAGCCAACAAATATAGATTTAATTATATGCAAAAGATGCTCTACATGCAATGCAAATTCAATACAAAAAATCCAAAGAAACCAGTCCTGCTTTAAATGAGCACAAATAATTCATTACACTGATTTGAAAAGAACTGTGCTTTAATACATAGATTAGTAAAGGCCAGAGTTGATAAAGTCCTAGATTTCTGTGGGTAAAGTTTTAGTGAAAACCTGACCATCTGTAAGACACTTCATTAACATCTTTAAATTCTTTTCTAAATTATGCAACCATTATAGCCCCTTAAACTTCTAGTTAACCATATTAATCTGCCATCTACTGAAAAGTTTGACAATATGAATTGAAAGCAGAATATTAAGGATCAACTGACACCTTATGATAACGTTGGAAGACCACTTTTAGACACAATGCTCTTGTATTACATCTTTCTTCTGAAATTTTTCAACCCTCTTCATCTTACTAGATAAGGTGTAATTAAGGCAGACAGTGGTCCACAGAGCTGAGAGTGTTGTAAAGTCATGATAAGACATACCAGAAACAACATGGCTTAATTCTCCTTACCATACTACACCCAAAAAGGCTTGTTAACATACACAAGACTCCACCGGTGCCACAAAATGTCCTGTGACTTCTGAAGATAACATTTTAAGCTCCTTTCATCTTACCTTTGATTTTTTTTTACCAATTTCACTAATTTTCTCTTCTAAGAAGCACAGTGGGTGAACTTCACCAACATACAGCAAGCTTCTACTTGAACCTCACAACAATGCTTGAGGGGTGTTCCAGGGGTCAGTCATCAGTGGGAGCTGGTCTTGTCCTCTTTGCACACAGGATCCTGGCACTCTCTACTGCTGGAATGATTTTTAGGCTTAAAACCTTTTCTTTAACAACAGAATAAACACAAGCACACTGAACCTCAGCAATGTCATCTCTACATTATCTCCTTACAAGATACTAAAACCTTGGCAGAAGTTTAAGCTGTCATAAATAGCAGTAAATTGCACTAAGGTCAATTAAGAAAAAAATTAATATGCTTAGCAATTTGTTCTGTAATGAAATGTATAAATGTAATTTAGCACAACAATATGAGAAGATGCCAAAACATGGTCTTTAACATAAACTGCTTCAGTAATGCTTTTTAAAATGCTCTCTAAAACATCAACAGATTCATGATCTTTGACAAAGAGCTTTGAATTAGCAAAGATATAACAAATCTGTGATAATGGTACCAGAACTACCATGGACTATGATGTCTGAAATTTTATAATCATGCTTACTTTATCGGTTTTTACTTTTGTTCTTTTTCTGTATTTATTCTTATACAAACTTTATACAATCATTTACAATTCCATCTAAAATAAAGCACAGAATAAGCTTGCTATCTTATATAACAAAGTACAACCCTCCTAATGAAAATAACTTCACAAAACCTTCTACTTCACATTTTCAGCAGGAGAAACCTCTTGAAACAAGAGGTTTCTTTCAATTTGGCCAATATCTCATTACTATTCACCCCACAATCACAAGCCATCGCTGATTTTACCTCACCTTTTGCGGAAGAGCTGAAACTACACAAACCACCAGCCGACAACTCACATCAGAACCACTGCTCTTGCTAGCACTGCCACCTGCTGTTGATGTTAATTTTGTTTCTTGCTCAATAGCTTTAAAACACCAATTTTGTACAGCTAATTTCACTTAGCCTATAAGAAAGAGATATAATCAACATCGATTTTTTTAACTATTTTAAACACACTCGCTGTTTCAGTTTCTGCTGGTAGTAGATGTATAATTGTCTTATTCTCATGCTTTTCTAAACACACAGAATAACAACAATAAAGAATCAAGATTTTCTGTCTGCTGTTTTGGAAGTGTTTGCTTAAGATCTTGTATGTGTTTCTTAAGAGGTTTTCACAGAATAAAAATTAAAGAGTAAATCAACTAATCACAAATTTATTAAAATCATGGTTATTTTTTAAGCCAACACAACTAGCACGGAACTTCATGACATATTAAAGAAATAGGTTCTACTACTCTTTAGAAAGTAGATCTAGTAAAATGTCATGGAATTTTATTACTTAAGTAAGGTCTGCATCTCTACAGTAGCAACAGAATGCTAGGAATTTAATCTGAGAGGGCTATTATCCAATGAAACAGAGATTATTATGTTTCCTTTGCAACTGTGTTTGGGACTAGCCTAGGCTTCTATATACACAAAAATGCAGACAAATTGAAGAATAATAATTTTATTTCTGAAATTCAAACTTGGTACATGTATGTACTTTAGTTTTGTAAGTTTATATATATATATATATATATATATGTATATATATGTGTTTGGGGGGTTAATTTATTTAATTATATGCTTATATATTTAAACATATAATATGGCCCTAAATCTACTACTAAATTTCAGCTGTAGGAGGCAAGCCATGCCATCCCCATGGTTGGCTTATACTGCTCCTCAGAATACCGAGTCGGAAGGAAAATCTTCCTTTCCAGTGCCTGGTCTTAAAAGCTGAATTCCACAAAAAAGTTCATCACTAAAATTTTTGAAACAAAAAAAGATGTTACAAAAAGGACAGTGGGATAAAAAGCACTGATAAACTTTTGCAGCAGATTTCAAGAATCAAATTGAGGACTTGTTTCTGCTCTATTTGATTTCCATGGCAAGGTTCTAGTAGTGGCAGGGGCTACAGGTGCAGCTTCTGTGAGAAGCTGCCAGAAAACTATCCAAGAGAGGCGGTGCCAACCGGCTCCAGGACAGACCCACCACCAGCCAAGGCCAAGGCCATCAGCAATGATAGTGGTGCCTCTGGGACAACAGATTCAGGAAGGTAAAAATGTTACTGCACAACAGCAATTGCAGCCAGAGAGAGGAGTATGTGAGAGAAGCAGTTCTGTAGACATGAAGGTCAGTGAAGAAGGAGAAAGAGGAGGCGCTCCAGGTACCGGAGCAGAGATTCCCCTGCAGCTCCTAGTGAGGCAGCTGTGCCCCTGCAGCCCATGGAGGTCCATGGTGGAGCAGAGATCCACCTGCAGCCCAATGAGGATCCTACAGCTAAGCAGGTGGATGCCTGAAGGAAGCTGTGACCTTGTGGGAAGCCTGTGCTGGAGCAGGCTCCTGTCAGGACCCATGAAGACAGAAGCCCACACAGGAGCAGGTTTGCTGGCAGCATTTTGACCCCTTGGGGGACCCAGGCAGAAGCAGTGCACATTCCTGAAGGACTGCAGCCCATGGAAGGGACCCATGTTGGAGCAGTTCGTGAAGAACTGCAGCCTGTGGGAAAGACCTATATTGGAGAAGTACGAGGAGGTCTCCCATGGGAGAGACCCCAAACTAAAGCACGGGAAAGAGTCCCTCACCTGAGGAAGATGCACCAGCAGAGACCATAACCCCCGTTCCTGTCGTACTGCACTGCCAGGAAGAGGAGGTAAAAAATCAGGAATAAAGTTAAGCCCAGGAAGAAGGTGGGGGAGTTATTTTTAAGATTTTGCTTTACCTCATTATCCTACTCTGGTTTGATTGGTAATGAATGAAACCAATTTCCCCAAGTCAAGTCTGTTTTACCCATGACAGTAACTGGAGAGTGATCTGTCGCTATCTTTATCTCACCCCACAAGCATTTCATTATATTTTCTCTCCCCTGTCCAATTGAGGAGGGGAGGGACAGAGTGACTTTGGTGGGCACCTGGTGTCCAGCCAAAGCCAACCTACCACATACTTTTTTAGGGAAGTTCTTTCTTCTAGCCACTATTCTAGGGACTGGGCTGACAGAACAAGGACATGGGCAATGTTAAAACAGTATGGGTATATAAATTACATCTGCTAAGAAAAGACTAGAATCAGCAGTCATACAATGATGGCAACACCTAGGTTCAACCGTTTCTTTTGGAGAAAAGACAGAGGAGAATGTGACAGAGTTGTACTATGAATGACATGAAACAGATAAATGAGAAATGAATGTTCATGCCCTTCCAATACGGTAAGAATCAGAATAGAATACTAGGTGGCAGGTCCAAAGCAAAAACACCACCACAAAAAAATAGTGCTTTTTTCCAAACTATTTGAAGTTAAGCTGTGGAGGTCCTTGCTAGACAATGCTGCAAATGCTAAAAGTTAATAATGTTGAAAGAAAAAAATGTATTTTTTCTTAAACCCTTTGTTAGAAAAAGTCACTGACTGTTAATAACTACCAATGCCACACTGACATATTCTGCACATTACTGAAAGCAGGTCTGAAGAAGAGTTCTTGCATTCATTAACACCATGAGATATATTTTAATCACTACCAAAGAAGTGATACACATCTTGGATTAAACAAACTGAGCAAGTACCAGCCTGAAAACAAGCCAAACTATCTGAGAAAAATAAAAGAACAGAAAATGATAACTGGATGTCAACAGGCAGGATGTAGCAATTTAAGTAACTACATTGAAGGTTTAACAGTGATTGGGTGGGACAAAATTATGGAAGAAGCTGGGTAAGATGAACAATAGTGAGAAAGAGGAAAGCAGTATAATGAGCAAGAAATTTGTGGTGGGAATCAACACTGCAGACATAAGCAGTTCGAAGAGATGGACAAAGAGTTTAAGCTGGCAGATACAAAATGTTCCATGACAGCTACAGTAAAGGTATGTGGAAATGAATGTCAGTATTTTTAAGGGTATTTGGTAAAGGACCATTTTTTCTGTGAGGTAAACTATACACAGGAACATACAGGGCCACAAACCTGACCACAAAATGATAAGGGAGGTGGTGATGAGAACCAAACCTGATCAGCCACACTAATTTATGCAGGCATGTGAAAGTGCAGGAATGTTTATTCCAGCAAGACTATCTTGATTTGGAACTTGACTGGCAAACCAAGGGAACAGTGGTAAGCTAGGAAGCAAAATATACTAAGACACACACCTGACAAAGCAAACATGGAGACAGTGACAAGAAACAACCCCTGCCAGTCACGACAGCGGCTGGGCTATCAAGTATCTACAGCCACCACTCCGAGGAAAACTCACCAGTTTGGAACTGGTCAGTCTGCAAACTCAGGGGCCCTGAATTGTGTGGAGTGAAGGAATCTAAAAAGCTGTGGAGGGACAAGCACGGAAAGGCAGAGCAGGAAGGAACAGAGACAAAGCAGATAGAAAGGGTAAAAAAGGGTCCAGTTGCCTGTAAAATCAGGTAGGTCAGTACACCCGTCTGGCTGAGCCCTGCTCCTGATGGCCACAGTCTGTCTTACCTTCTTACATCTTCTTATTAAAACTTCTCTCACTTTCTGCTCTGCACAATCTTACTGTCTTGTGCGTGTGTGTGCTGCAAGGACTCAGTGCCAGGTACTGGGGAGGTCTTGCATGTGTGTGTGTGTACGGAATGCAGTGCCAGCCATGGGAGTCAGACCGAGGATGTGGGTGCTCCTGGGCTGTGGTGCCAGAGAACTGGAGTGACTGGGGGGATCCCAGCACAAACTACTGGAGCAGAAGGGGCCCCTCCAGTCACAGTCCTTATTCCCAAATCCAGCTGCTGTTACAGACTGCTCTCCCAAAAATGAACCAATCACTTCCCTGTCTACAGGGAGCACTTAGTGACAACACCGTGTTTCTTTTCTTTCTGGTATCACTCCATTCAAGGATCAGCTCCACCTACATCACTAGCAGAGTCAGCAAAAATCCTTCTGGTGGCTCCTTCTACAGCTGAAAATGCAAACTTCTTTTCTACTCCTCCAAAGAAAGATTAAGCTGAACTTGAAAAGTTTCACAAATAGACACAAAAATCCAAACGAAAAGAAACCAAAACCTCATAAACAGATCTTGAATGTTGCAAAGTAAAACACTAAAATTAGAAAGTGTCATAATTAATGGCATTTTAACCCATATAGATTATAGCAGGTGTCCCATGACATCATCACATACTATTTTCTCACAACAGTATTTTTGTTACAGTGCAAGTAGATCCTCTGTGTTCTGGAAACAAAATGAGGTCTTTTTTTAAAAGTTAAAAAATTTGCATGTTTCCTGCCTCATTTATTACATAAACAGACAGTGGATATTATCAAGGCAAAGAATTAACCCACAGAAGGAACACTCTTATGAAACCTGCTTTGGAAATTTCAATTTTTATCCCTGTATTGGATCTACCACTTCCCATGGATACGTAAAAAGTTCTTTTTTCCCAAAAGCAGTAAAACCAGCTTCCTAGTTTTAAACTTTCCTTTAATTTAAGGGAAATCATCCTTTGAATTCAAAACAAGCTGCATGAAAGTAATTATAATTTTAAAAGAAAATCATTAGCAGGTATCAGCTAATTTCTGTTTAAAAAAAATATATTATTAGATGTTTTTAATATTAATTCTGGGCCTCAGCTAGCAGTCTGCAGAATAGGGAGAGTAAGAGCTATTTCAACTCAAATTTGCTGCAAATATGATTTCATTGATCATGAGGAAGTATTTGTAGGCCAGACACTGACAAATTATTAAAACCACTTTTATTAATCAAACCTTATTAAACAATTCAAACACCAATTCAGCCCTCACCTGAGAAACTTTAGAAACTACATTAACCTGTCTAGAACTTAGGGAGCCATGCTGTTACATTCATAAGCAATCAGTTAAATACAAGTGCTTAAAAAACAGAACCAAATTATAATATGGAGAAAACTGAAAACACAAGAATAATTTAGAGAAAACTAGAAAAATCTCCATCAGCCACAAAGCACATATCATAATCTTACCCCTACCCAACCACTCATCCCCACTCTTCTTATCTGTGTAGCCTTAATATAATCTATCAGGCTGGGAGGACTCCAGCAGATTACTACACTGTAAATGCTGGCTCTTTGGGTTATGCTTTGGGCTAAATCCTTGAACAGTTAAATTTTTATTGCCTTCATCCTTCTCCAGTGAATCAAGATTAAGCAAGTTAAGCAAGGTGAAGGAGAGGAAAATAGGGCACTGGTCAAGCATTCAGTCTCACAGAGGAAGCACCTGGGGCCTTCCAGAGCAGTGATCCCTTCTGATAAGCCACTTGCTGAAAAGCTAACACCTCCCGAGCTGAGTCCTGATGATCCTGCTTCTGCCTTCCACTTCTCCACGATGTGCATACTATCCCTGCAAAATTAACTCATGCCCATTTATTAAGTTTCTGCACTCATCACCTCCCACCGTCACATTAATTGTTTGGAGAAAATACACTTCACTAACCAACCTTCATATCACAGACCATCCACTTTTCAGGAACACATTCTGAGCAGACTGATGTTGCTACATTCCTTTTTTCTTATCAGGCACAGCATATACTGCAGTACAATCCACAGCTGAGAGAGATTTGCTGTTCAGCCTTTTGAGTTGAAAGAACTCTTTATTTTCCCTCTTTTCTAGATGGACAGCTGAGGTCCAGAATTACTATTAAAACCATTTAATAGTATTTTGGAGGTTTTAAATGAAATTAACTGATACCTGCAAATGGATTTATTTTTTCATAATAATTACTATCATGTAGCTTCACTACAGCTCTTTCCGAACAAGAAAGTCAAAACTCCCACCAAATAGTCCTACTTCTTCAGCAACAAGAGACTCATATTTATACCAATGGACCGTAGATCAGGTCCTTTAGCATTTGGCCAGTCATTTCTCCAGGGGAACTGCTTGGAAATTAATCAGGGAAATGCTTGGGAAAAATAGAAGTTAGATTGTCCCAAAGTCCTGGCTAAAAACTCCAAAGAATATTATTATAGAATGCTACAGTGCCAATTCAAGAAACTTGTTAGATAATATTGATTTCTGCTTGCCCTATTAACAGCTTTGGCTACCTAAGACAAGCCATATATGCTTTTTTTTTTTTATGCTAAGATGTGTGAAAAGCCTAATCTAGTATAATGCATCGTACATGAACTATTTGACAACACATTCCTTTCACGCATCCAGTGTCTTGCTTCATTTCCTTTCTCACAAGTGACTTAAATCAGAGCTGCCTTTTAAACTTCACCCAGCATGTCAATTCTTTGAAAAACAGAGCCTTCAAAAACCTGGTAAAATTAAGAGGTAAGAATGAAGTACAAGCCCAAATGAAGAACTAGTAAACCTTCTATGATATTGTTACTGTTTACTGAATCTAAAAAGCATTAAAATAGATAATTCTTGTGTGTAATCTAAACCCAACACTAAAATGGGATCAATCCAGATTTTCTAACAAATCTATATAATTAAACATAAAATAATTAATTTTACATTATTTTTAATAAATCTATTAACCTAAGTAACTGAGAGTTACCGAGATCTTTTTCACATAGCTCCCTCAGCACAGTTTATTAACTCAAATAAAAAGATTTAAAAGGTACCTCGAATCAGACAGGAGCACTGTTGTATCGCTTTTTGCAGGCACTCCAACTCTTGTTATGTCCACACACTGCAGTGCTCCCAATGGCACTTAGGTACATTCTTTACAGCACATGCAATTTTTTTCTAAAAGCTCCAGCACAAAATGAATAGGGCATCAGGGCATTCAGATATTACTCCCTGACTGTTGTCTGCAGTAATCAGCAAGCATTCTGAAAAGTCTGTCATTAGTCACTATCAATATGGAGCCACCAGAGCCTCTTTCAGGATCAGAGTAAATTAGTGGAGCATCTTCCATTTCCATTCTCACACTGGCAACCTCACTGAGACTCCTGAAGCCTTACAAATACAACTTTCAACCATGTCTCCCACTACTAAAGAGCTAACACAGTCAAGTCAAATAAATACTGGCTAGTAACAGGCTTTATTTACTACAAAATTCAAGAACTGTGGCACAGCCAAGTTCAGCACCACTCGGACTTTCTGAGTAAGCTTTACTTAGATCTTGAATACACCAAAGGAAAAAAACAGCTTTTAAAGCAAGTTAAAATTGCCTATTTTAATTCTAAAGAAACATTAAATTGCTCTTAGAAAATTCAGCTCAGTGATTAAATAGAGTTCCATATATTCACAAGAATTTCTAACATTTTATCCAGCAAAATAACTAATAAAATAATAACATTTTCAAACTCACTAGTTGGTATGTTACAATCATTTAAAATTCCCATTCAATTTATTATAGTTGCTGATATTTAAAACAAGGGGTACTAAGTTGTTTTTGCAAGGATGCATTGGGAGATAGAGCAAATTCCACCAAAGGTACTTAAATTCATGCAAGTTGGGAACTGCTAACATGATGTCAGGACACAAAGAATGTACCCTCCTGTAAGCAAGAAAATAAATGCTTTATTATATATTCCTGATTACGCATTACTAGCCTTCTGCAATACTCCTCATGATTCAAAAATGACACTGCCGTTAGGTAATAAGTTATATAGGTATTATATATAAACACATACTTTTTAAATGTATGTGTGTGTATATACATATCAAGCTACAGCTCCAAACTTGATGGACTCAACCCTTTTGAGAGCTGCATTTAAAAACAAGGTATTGAGCAATCATGTCATTATTTGAAAACGATAGTGAATATTTTTTAAATAAAACATTAAACAACGATTTTCATGAGTTAGTTATTCATGTCTAATACAAACTCAAGTGGCAAACCTGAGAATGTAATACTGATGGAAGAACTGGATTTATCTTAACCTTTGTATTCCAGCCTTAACTGACTGGAATAACTTCAAGTTGTTTTGCAGGATTTTGCTGTTCAGTGTGACAGTTTGACTTTTCAAAAACTACCCTTTGGTTGGTTGGTTTTGTTTTTTTAAAGTACTCTCCAGATGCAAATGCACTGGAACAACAGTCCCATGTTCATTTTTACAGGACTGGTATAGCCTTGGTTTTCCCATGCTTTTCTAAGGCTGACAGGACACACTGATCATGAAACTGCCTCCTGGCTCATTACATCATTTCGATTTCCCTGCTAACTCCTCCCCCCTGCCATATCTCATTCGCTCCACTGCTCTCACAAGGACTTGCGCAACCTACTGCCACCTACATTCTCCTTCTGCTACGAAGCAATGCCAAAAAATCAGCCCGACCGCTCCCCTACGACATCCCTGTCCAGCAGACAAAATGGCTGTTTGTCCTTTAACCCCGAGGGAGCGGCTGGCGATTCCCCCGCGGGAACACGGCGCCAGCCAAGCCCTGCGGCCGCCGCAAAACCCGGGCGCTGCAGCCTCGGGCTCTGTCCCAGGTTAGGCCCAGCTCAGCCCCAGGCTCAGCCCTCGTACAGGGCGGTGCTTCCCCCGCAGCGCCGCCGGGCTCGTCGGGGCGGGGCGGGCGCGGGACAGTGGAGCCGCGGTTGGAGCCCGCGGAGGCCTCACGGTAACGGGCCCCGCTGTGGGGCCGGGGGTCGCGGGGTCGCTGAGGGTCGGGTGGCGGAGGCGCTGGCGGTGGCAGGTCCGTGTCCTTGGGAACGGCGTGGAGCGGGCGCTGAGGAAATGGAAGCTGTCGCTGCTTGTCGCAGCAGCAGCGGGTGCCTGTGTTTATGTGTGTATTTGTGCGTGTTCGGTCGAGAAACAACATGTTTTTCACTTTCAAAGCAGCTTCATTTTCGTGTAGAAATTTTCCTGTCCTTTAAGCCTCTTTAGAACTGATTTTGATTGTTGAGGTAAATTTCACTGTATTCGGAGATATGTTTTGGAATAACACTGTTTACAGTAATGACAAGAATTTGACTGTTGTGTCAGTATTTTTTTGTGATAATATGGGTGGTCTGTACAGCATTAATTCTTTTACTTAAATCCTTTTAATAACAGTGAGTATATTCTCCGGCATTTTTAGTTGACACAATGACAGACTTTGAGAAGAACCTCAGCCAGGACATGATTTCTCAGCTGCACAACTTTGCTGCCGTGGGAGATGCAGCCAGACTGAAAGCACTGCTCAGTCGTTCCCCGTCACTTGTCAACGCAGCTGCGGGGAATGGCTGGACAGCCCTGATGTTCGCTGCCAGGAATGGACACCTCGAGGTTGTGCGGGTTCTTCTTGAACAAGGGTAAGCTGCTTAATAGACCCCATTCAGGAGCTCTAATTTGCATCCCTTTTTGCCCATTTCAATTTTATTTCAGAAAAGTAAGTTTACTGATGGATAGTGGCAGAATTTTCATGGTTAAAACTCAGGAAAGTGTACTCTGTGTCAGTCTGTAACCGGATTCTTTCCATATTTGCTAAGAAACTCTAAAAGTTATGAGCATCTCTAAAATTATTCTTTTGATCTTCTAAGATATCACTCCTCTCAGAGGCCAACAGAATTGAACAAACTTTGCATTTCGTTTCAACCACTATCCTGAATATAAATTTGGTGTGTTTGATTGTTCCATTTAGATTTTTTTCTCTAAACTTTATTTGTAATTCACTTACATTTATGTTATAGTGCAGAATTTTTGTTGACATACTGGCTCTTAAGTCAGACGCGACAGACACACCTTTACAAAGTTACCAGTTGATAAATTTTAGTTGTATCTTAGCATTTGGACAATACACATTCTCCTTCTTGCTTGACATGTCATTTTTACTTTCTTAAGTTGGTATGACACCAAGTGTTTTCATTGCTTGTCAAAAACTTGCTATTTTGTAGTCATCTGTTGTAGTTCTTGTGTTTCAAGACACCCAAAGATGCAAAGAGTGCTTCAGTGTTCTTCTTGAGACTCCAAAGAAAATTCATCTCAAAATGAGGGGTTAGAGTCAGATGTGATTCAATTGAGCTCTACATTAATCAAGCCTGTTTGATTAATGTGGTTCCTTCTGCACTCCTAATTACACAACCAAGCAAGTTTAGTTCATTGTGTAGTTATGAGTAACTTCAGGCATAGCATTCCACAGCCTCCAGTCATCATGCCACCCTTTTTTCTTATTTTTTTCAGTCTTACCCAAATCCTGTGTCTTCTGCTGAAGCTCAGCATGAAGCATTAGATGAACCAGTAGTTTATACTGGAATCAGTACATTCCAGTGTGTAGAGGAATAACTTGTTGACAGATTTTGTGTTTTGAGGAATATTCTGGGATTTGGGGGAATTTACCACCTGGTAAATAGGATAACAATTTTTTAAGTTATGCTTACTGTAAAAAAAGTGAATGTCACTTTTAAATGCTCTTCTCAGGGTTGTTCTCGTAGGCAATTTGAGCATAGTTCCTGAGATGGTGCTGTGGCCTCATTGGTCTTGTTTTAGTTAACGCTTAGTCATAATAATTATTTTAACAAATAAAATTGCTGGTTATATAAGCATGAATGTCTGTGAAAGTAATATTTCATAACATTACAGAGAATAATCCTGGAAAGGCTATCATAGAATTTTATCATAGAATTGTAGAATCACAGAATGTGCTGTGTTGGAAGGAACCCACAAGGATCATCAAAGTCCAACTCCTGGCTCTCCATAGGACAACCCAGGAATCACACCATGTGCCTGAGGACATTGTCCAAATGCTTCTTGAACTCTGTCAGGCTTAGGCACTTCCCTGGGGAACCTTTTTCAGAGTCCAGCTACCCTCTGGGTGAAGAATCTTTGCCTGGTATCCAACCTAAACCTTTCCTGACACAATTTGAGCCCGTTCCCTCGGGTCTTGTCACTGATCACCAGAGACAAGAGATCACTGCCTGCCCTTCCTCTCATGAGGAAGCTGCAGACCAAGGTGAGGTCTCACCTCAATCTCCTCTTTTCTAGATTGAACAAGCTTTCCCTCTAGACCCTTCATCAACTTCATGGCCCTAGTTTGAACACACTCTAATAAGCGTTAGATACTTCTTATGTTGTGGTGCCCAAAACTGCACGCAGTACTTCATGTGAGGCCACACCAGCAAAGAGTAGAGAAGCACAATCACCTCCCTTGAGCTGCCTGACGCACCTGTGTTTGTCCATGTTTGAGGAAAGCTACAGGAAATGTTTGCAGACTGGAAAAAAAGATCTTGATAGTCTAAAGAGTTCAGGTCACTGTTGTGGACACTGAAGAACAGCCTGATTGTGATCTGCACATACCTGAGCAGATAGAAGGGGGAAGACAAATCAGAACAAAATTCAGTTGACTGAGAGATAGGAAATTAAGTAGGAAAATAAGCATTATTTTGCCTAAAGGAAACCATGTCTTTAAAGATGGATGAGCAGTAGTAGTTTCTTTAGCACAAAAAACTTTGTAAATTAAATTTTGAATCCTTTTCTGAACTATACCAAATTCTCTCAAAACCTACTGAAGTTAAACTAAAATCTCAAAATGGCCTTGCCTGTGGGACAGTTACTTGTGTATCAGCAACATTATTATACTGGCATTTTGTGTTTTTAAAAAATGATGAATTTGGCCCTGATCTACTGCATAATTTTGACATTTCTGTTTTATTTACGCATTTGAGTTAAGATTGGTAAAAAATTAAAGTGTGTTATTTTGACTTCCCAATCAAACCCAGTCTATTTCAGGTTTGGGTTTCTTTTGGGATTTAATATTCAAATATATATCACAAGGCAGTGTTTCCTCATCTGTGTCATTTTACAGACTTTTAGGTAACAGGCAGATCCTTACAGGGATCAGCACCGCTGTTGTAATGGTGCTACTTTTGTCATTAATTAGGGGCTGTATTCTTGATTATAATTTTACGGTAAATCATGGAAGCATACAATATCCTGAGTTGAAAGGGACCCACAAGGATCAACTCCTGGCCCTGCATAGGACACCCCAAGAACCTCACCATGTGCCTGAGAGTGTTGTCCAAACACATTTTGAACTCAGACAGGCTTGGTGCTGTGACAACTTCCCTGGTGACTCTGTTCAGTGTCCAACCACCCTCTGAGTTTCCTAACATCTAACTTAAACCCCCGTGACTCAACTTCATGCCATTTTCTCAGGTCCTGTTCACCAGAGAGAACAAATGCCTACCCCTCCACTTCCCCTCATGAGGAAGTTGTAGACTCCAATGAGACCTCCCCTCAGTCTCCTCTTCTCCAGCTGAACAGACAAAGTGACCTCAATAAAATATTTTATTGTAAATGTTTAATGCTAATTTGAGTAGCTCCTAGAAAGTAATGCTTGTTAAACTTATATAAATGTTTTATTTTTCATTTTTATTACTGGTTGTGAGGAACAGACCCATAGCCTGACTTTCAAAGTTCTATCTTGACCTTTTTTTTTTCCTCATGTGTGGGATTTTGATTAATCCATTGCTGTTGTAGTACTGCATGAAGCTCAGTGAATAATAATCTGGAGTGGATCAACAAAAATGAGAAATCTGGCCTTAGCAAAAGAAAATGAAGTACAATTACTTTTCATTACCATAATGCTAAATATTTAGCATTATGTGCTAAAATAAAGAGTGCCCCAGTATAGACAGTGTCTAGAAGTTCTTGCACCTTAATAGTATCAGATATGGTATAAGTAAGAATAACACAGCACCAGGACTCTTGCTGAACATATTTACCCTGGTAACCACAGTTCTTTTCTGTTTTTTTAGGTGTGACAGATCCATCATTAATAAATCAAGGCAGACAGCTCTGGACATCGCAAAATTTTGGGGGTACAAACACATAGCTAATTTGTTGGCTAATGTCAAGGGTGATCAGAAGCCTAGTTTTTTGTCAAATGATGTGAAAGAATATGAAAATTATTTTGGCATGACACTTCTGGACAGAAGGAGTGATAAAAGAACAGATTCCAAGTGGCTGAGTAAAAAACAAAGCCATCCAACTACAGTATACATCCTCTTCTCAAATCTAAGTCCCCTAGTTACTTTGGGTGGGGGAATAGATAGTTCCCAGCAGCCAGAAGTAAAGCTTTGCAGGCTGTACCACAAGGATGTGGAGCAGTGCCTGAACAAAACAGAAGAGTGTACCTTGATTTTTCTTGGAGTTGAACTTCTTCAGAACCTGGCAGCTGCTTACAATGGGAGGGTTCTGCAAGAAGATGAAGAGGACGGGTTAGTTGCTTGGTTTGCTCTTAGCATAGATTCTGCTTCTGCCGAGAAATTTAAACAGAAGCATGAGGACTGTTACTTCCTTCACCCACCAATGCCAGCACTGCTGCAGCTACCTGAAAAAGAAGCTGGTAAGATGCATGAAATGCAGCATGGACCAAATGTGTGATTTGAAGGTTTAGGTTTCAGTGAGGTACAATGCAAGGACAAACCACTGCAAAGGAATTGGGTATTTTCAGTGGCTTTAGAAATATTTTGATTTTAAAAGCCAGTTAGTGATTTTGTTAAGAGTTTTATATGTAAAAACGTGTGCTGTTGCAAAGGGCTAACTTCGGCAGTGGCAATATTAGTCTGTAAAGCCTATTGATCATCTTTGTTTTTAAATAGTACTATTTAAATGTTCATGCATGCACATTAATGTTCTAAAAAGAAGGAAAAAATCTGTAATTACTGAGTTTTCATTATAAGAAATGAGATTTACATCTTTAATAAGAGTGTGTTGAATACTCATCTGAGAAAGAAGTGTTGAAAAGTGAGGATACCAAAGTGAATGAGTGTTATTATGGACATGGAGCTAACAACTACTGTTGTAGCAGTTTTGCTACAGGACAAGCTTGACTTGCACCTCAAGTTTAAATAGAACAATGCGTTATTATGTCAGTACCTGTAGTAGCCCTAAAATGTCCTCTGGAAAAGGTGTGATACATAATTCTGACACTTTGCCCAGACAGAGTAACTTTTGTGACAAGCAGAGTATATTGATCCAGATGAATTTGTTTCTGAATGTATAAATTGTTCATAGCTGTAGGATACTGTGTTCAATTGCATGAGCTCTGCTGCAAAGAAAAAGATCTGCATAACTCATATTGCTCAACTTTTCTTGTAGCAGATTGTGATTCGAGCCACAGTCTTACTTTGATTTTTATGTTAAAACCTTTACTATTTGCTTCTTCCATACTGTTAAAAGCTCACATGAATTACATGAATTAGTATTTGATTTTTTGAATTTTCAATGTATCTTTTTAAAGGAGTAGTAGCCCAGGCTAGGTCTGTTCTAGCATGGCATGACCGTTACCAATTCTGCCCAACATGTGGGAGTACAACCAAGACCGAAGAAGGGGGTTACAAGAAAACTTGCTTAAAAGAAGATTGTCCTAGTCTCCAAGGAGTTCACAACACATCATATCCAAGAGTTGGTGAGAATATTTTAGAATAATTGCTCATAAGTGACTTGTTAGTATTATTATATACCTGTAAATCAGTTTATTTCTAATTATTTCAGCTGCTCGCTTCTGTCCCAGGTCTTACATACTTGTTTCTCCCCAGAGTATGTATGTCTCAGCTCCATTTAGGATTAAGTAGTTCAGACTTCTCTTTGGTGCAGTAGTCTGTAACACAGAATTGCTGTGAAAATACCAGTTGTTATTGCAAAAAGTAATACAAATTAGGAATTCCAACAACATAAATGAGATATTAACAGTACAAAGGGTCACATTTTACTTTTTTTCTCCCCACCTGCATATTTTTCTCACCTTCTGCAAGCCCTCTGAGCTTGAAGTAGCTCTGTATCAAATTTGGCCCTGTATCAGAGTTCTGACATAGTGCTCATTTTTCTGTAGTGCCACTTGGATGCTATTAGCCGTCATCACTGGCTTACACTATTCATTGTCAGTCACAAATTGCCAGGCCTGTTTTTACTAAGAATATAAGCTTTTATAGACAGTCTTCCTGTCTCTGTTATTCCCTTCTACGTCATATCTTCTTTTGTTCATGTTGCAAAGGACGTGTATTATGTTATTGATGGGGAAACAGGATGGAAAAAAACTTACTTTTTTTTTTAATGGATTATTTGGTGACACTTTGGTCACCTTTCATTCTTCTACCTTGTCCTCTCTTCTGCAGTTGTAGTTCTGGATATTGTGCATATGTTGTACTTCTGAATTCCATATCCTCTTATATGCCCTAGATGTATCTTTTTAGCAGTCAATTCTGTCATATTCTTATGTCTTGTAGACTATAGTGAAGCTTGCTAAAATATTTAGTGGCTGTTTCTTTACAGTCTCTAGCACAACAAACTTAGAGAAAGAATGGGATTATATGGGAAAGACTGATTAACCTGCATCTGCTAATGAGGCCTTTCTCTCAAGGTAGTATTCAGACAGCAACACTTCATATTCTGTATTGTGCCATGTGGCAGATAACTTTGAGCAGGACAACAATCTTTAAAATTATTGTGCTGAAGCAAACCTTTTCATACAGAGAAAATATTAGTGTTTTGGGCAAAAAAAAAACCTTCGTGAAAAACAACAGCAAGAGAAAAAATATAGAGAGGTAGATTAAAAAAACAAAAAACAAACAACCAAAACACTGAAATACTTAAAAACTAGATAACAATAAAAAAGGGGAAAATATCACAAATCAACAGGATCCATAATACCAATGTGAGAAAATACTAAACTAGAAAGACAAAGATAGATACAATGACCAGAAGTGAGAAAGTAGGTAAAAGTGCAACATCACAGAAGGGGGTGATAGCAAAGAGTAAACAAAGTCAAAGGTGGAAAGCTTAGTCAGTGTTTGCATTGTTGCTAGAGTATCTGGTTCTTCTTTAGTATTCAGTCAAAAGTACATTCTTCAGACCTCTGTGGGTGTAGAGGAGGTGACAGTAAATGGGTTTGTGCAGAAACTATTCCTGTGTGCTCTGTGCTTAGCTAGGTTAGTATTGCTTGATACTCTTAACAGATTGTTTGTAACCAAACAGGCTTTGGTTTCAGGTAATTTCTGTTCTGCGTTTCAAACATTGGTTAGTAAACTGCTTTTACTAAGCATGTATGTTGCAAAACAAAGTAAACAGATATCTTGCAGGGAGAAAAATTCCAAAGTTAAATAAAATAACAGCTTGCTCTGGGCATGTGCACAATTATGATTTCAACCGTTTAAGGATATCTTATGTATCTTTACATTAGTATTGAATAGGATGAAATTTATTCCTGCTTTTAAGTCCCTCAAATGTTGAAATATATTCCTTTCATGTCCCTTACAGATCCTGTTGTGATAATGCAAGTGATCCATCCGGATGGGAACCACTGCCTTTTAGGTAGGCAGAAGAGGTTTCCTCCCGGTATGTTCACCTGCCTCGCTGGATTTGTAGAACCTGGTAAGTAATTTCCCTTACCAATTATTTTTTGTCACGTAACAGTATCGTATGTTTACAATAACACAGAAATATATTTCATGTTATGTTAAATTAATGTTTTTGTTTCCTGTTAGATGAGTTGTTATAATAAATATGCTTATTCTGTACTTTGCAGCAGCTGATTTATAAGGCAACAAGCAACATGAGTAAATAAAAACTTCAAATTCTTTTCTTATCATGCAGTCTTAAATCACATATTCAAGTGGAAAAAAAAATTAAAAACACTTATACGGCCCTTTGTTTGGTGATACTTTGCAAAGGATTTTAGCATAGAAAAAATAAGAGTTAAAGTGTAACTTAAGGTTAACATGAAGTTAAGGATATGCTTACATGTTTAGGCCCTGATTTGTTATATGGAAGATAAGTAGAAATTACATAATTTTAAAAGAAAAGTAAAGAAATATTTTACTTGAGTGTTAAGCATAATAGTTGGAATTAGTTAACAATTATTAGTATCTACAGAACAATTTGTAAAACATTCTTATATTGGGAAGTGAATAACTGTATTCAGTAAATGTGTACAGGTTGACATACTGTGACAGCATGAATAAGTTGATTCAGGTATCATTGGAAAAAAGATAAGATATTTATTTCTTCACTCCTTTCCTTCCTCTGCTGGCCTGATTATTTTCTGATACTGAATTCAAGTCTAAATAAAGTGAAATTTAAAAGTAGCCAATGATAAAATCAGCTACTCTAATCAGCTGAACATAACTAAACTAAGACCTCTGTCTCTGATGCGTGGACTGTCTCCTTTAATGAACCTGTAATCAGTGGTTACAACACAGTACCTATGTGCGTATGATGTGACCATCAACATTCCTCATACACATCTAGCAGTTTTCTGTGAATATGGAAGCAAAGCTTTCCATTGAATTTTTAAGTTTGCAGTATTGTCCATGCATTAAGACAGTGAAGAATGAATCAGGCGAAGTGAAGCATACAATGCAGAAATGAGAGCAAGCCTTCTAAGTCAGTACTTTCTTACTATTCATTACAACTAGTTGATGTTTCAACTTGCAGCACATGCTGTCACAATCATATTGAAAATCCAAAAACTTACAGAACACTATTTATAAATTAACAGATCAGCATTTCAAGAGTAATTAAAGGAATAATGTACTTCCTACTCAATTTTTGACATTTTAGTTGTGGTAATAATTGTTTGTGTGTAGGATAAATTATCAATTCAGGAAACAAATATTATGATGTGGAAATTAATTACAGTTTATTTTCAAAGTTCCATTTTGATTTGGCATCTGGTTTTGCCTTACTAGACTTCTGTATCTTGTGCTTGAGATCTGTTGCCCTGAACTAGATCTTTATAGATAATTGCCTTGGGCAGTTTCAAATCCTTGGAGTCAGTTCAAAGCACAGGATGTGATTGTTGCTTGGAGTATTTTCATCAGCTGCTTGTTCTTTGCCCTTTCTGATTAGGTGAAACAATAGAAGATGCCGTTCGGAGAGAAGTGGAAGAGGAGTCTGGAGTCAAAGTTGGCCACGTTCAGTACGTCTCTTGTCAGCCATGGCCAATGCCCTCATCCCTAATGATTGGCTGCTTGGCTGTGGCAGTGTCCACAGAAATTAAAGTTGACAAGAATGAAATAGAGGATGCCCGCTGGTTCACTAGAGAACAGGTAAAGTTCAATTTAATTTCCTTCTTCTATTGATTAGTCTGTGACTGTATTGGTTCTGGCATACAACAAATACTTCTTTTTTTCCAGCAAGTTGAATGAGCATATCTACTATCCCTTTTATCATACTCTACAGCATTATATTGTGGTTGTAGATTACATACAACCAGAGAAAGGCAAATATTCACAGGAATATCTGAGTCACTAGCAAGCCCATTTTATGACATTTTCGCCAGTTAGCTGTTCACCTTTCCCTTTTGGGAGATACCCAAGTTACTCTTATTTTAACCCACTTCCTTAGCAAGCCTGTGCTTTTTGTTTTGGCAGAAGGAGCATTTAATAGCATTCATCATGAGAGTTTATCCAAATGAGCATGCTAGCAGATTTGCTGGGAGGGGGGAGGTTAAGGTGAGAACTATGAGAATTAGTTAGTTTGAACATCTTTTTCCACGCAGTACTATTTTAATACTCTGCTATTGAACGCAGTTTACTATGCATTAATATGAAGTACTACACTTATCTTCCCTGAGTAGTTAAAATACAGTCAAATAAAAGAGAGGCAAAAAGGACCTTCACAGAAAGATTTCAGTTCATGAGTAGACAAAGGAAAGATTGCTTACACAACATAGTCTTCACAGGTTTTCCCACAGGCAAATTTGGAGCTAAACCTCTAATAGCTGTGGACTTCTGCTTAGCATTTCCAAGTGTTTTGATTCTAAGTCAACTTCAAGGCAGAGTTTGTCTTCTACAATCTCAGCATATTTCTGTCAACACTGGGAGCATTATTTTAATTGAATATCAGTTCTGAATGCAGCTAGTCACAGGCAGGTAGAGCTGGAAATAAATGTACTTCAGAAATGAGCTGTAGTAAAAGCGTAATCCCATGTTGCTTGTAACTGCTTGAGAAAACCAAGAAAACACATCTCCTTTGGTACTACATGTAAAAATAAAAAAAAAAAAAAGTATTTATGTTACAGTATAGAGCACCATCTTGTGGTCCTTACCATAAAAAAACCTCACAAAACCCTTAAATAGTATAATAGCAGTCAGTCTCCACAGTTCTGTTAGGAAGGTATCCTTTGGGGCTCAAAAATGACAGAATTCACACAATGTGTATTTTTCTCTGCATCTGTCTTGCGGAATCTGTCAGTGCCTCTTTAATAGCTATAGTAATGGTAGACTGATGAATCATCACAGGAAAGCAATTTCTGCATTAATACAGTGTTAGATTCTATATGGTTTATAATATTCTCTTGTAAAGATAAAAAAATCTGGTTTTATTGCAGGTCGTGGAAGTTCTCATCAAAGGAAACCAGCGTTCATTCTTTGTACCACCGAGTCGAGCTATTGCACACCAGTTGATAAAACACTGGATTGGAATGAATGCTAATCTTTAGTTCAAATAATATAATCACATAATCAAATAATTGATATAAGTTACTTCTCCTGTTGAATACTAAATTAGGAATAAACTAGAATTGTTTATCTAGTAAATGTGCAACCATATGATTTTTTGAGCCCTTCCTTAGGTTCCTGAGCTAAAGGATCATTTGTAGGTGTTTTCAGAGCTGAATTAGAAATGGACAACAATTATCCCAAACAAGCAAGCAACAAATAGTTAGAACTGGTACCTTGTTGTTCACAGGCTGGTTTTTTGTCCTAGAATCAAATTATTATGCTTCTTGCTGTTATACTTTTAATGTTTGATTTGGTCCTTCCTCTACTGGAAAGAGTCACAGCATTACAAAAAGGGATGTCTGACTTTGCCTACTGTTTGAATTTTGTGTTTACATCCTCCTATTTTATCTTAATTGCTTCTTTCTCATTTTTGCCTTTCTACATTCTTTAAATTCCACCTGTCACAAAAATCAGCATTCAGTGCTGAAAGTGTCACCAGCAATGGTTATTTTTAAGCTAATAACACATGTAAATGGTGAATATGTGGTACTAGGTATCTTTTACATTAATAACTTAATTTACATTAATGCTCTAAACAGAGCATTTATTCATCCCTTCTGATTTGGCCTGCATTTACCCAATTGCATGTCAGCCTGAATTTAAAGGTATAACACAATGCTCTGGTTTCACAAAGGTGTTGAAGAGCCATCTCCAAAAGCCTAAATATTAGTATTTTATAAGATAATAATGTACTTACTGCCCCTAGGCAGTGAGATATGTCATTCTCTGATGATTAAAAATGGAACTGTAGAGTAATGGAGGAGGAAAAACAAGACATATCATCTCAAAATATGCACAAAATTCTTTATGAAAGTGGAGATGCTAAGATTGTTACTGCTATTAAGAAATTTACACTTGAAATAAGTATATTAACTGCAGGTATAAGATTGGGAAAGCATTACATGAATTAAAATATTTACTTATATGTACTTAATGCTATAGTTCAGATTGTGCCTTAATTTATCAAGGTTTTGAAAAGAATGTTAACTTAATATTTTCAAAATAAAAGTATATTATTTTTATTACTAATGGCATTATGTAATGGTTTGTAGTCTGTCATTCTGCAGTCATCACAGTGATATAAAAAGAAATGCAAATGATCCAAAGGAAGTACAGTGATAAATACAAACTTACTATTATATGGTGATTTGTTTACTCAGAGTAGTTTGCATTTTTTTTAACAGTGAATGAATCATATTTGTTTCAGAATTCCTGCCACACGGGAATCCGGAAAACTGTTCTAAAAATCCTATTTGTTCTCTTTTTCCTATCCAGTGCCACACTATACTCAGCAGTTTTGGGGATTTTTTTTGGTAAGGCAGTACATATCAAACTTAAAAGCAAGAAGCATTTCTTACAGACTTGGAACATTTGACATATTACACTGCTTCATTTGCTCCCTTCTTTCAGCTCTATGTACTAATGAAGACAACCAGGTTATATCTTGAGTGGTCTGAAAAGGAGAAGGAAGCAACGCACTGCTTCCCTTAAAAATTGGTTTTACAGAGAAGGGGAATTGTGAAAAGCTGTCATGGGCTACAGTTACCAGCAGGACTGCATGTTATCAGTGGTATTAATCTTTTTTAAAAAATGGTGGGACAGAAGGAAGCCTGGTTGCAGGTTGCTCATACAAATAAAGGAGAACATTGGAAAGTGGCGGAAGCTAAGCAGTGAGAGGAAATTCTGACTGGTACTGTGGTGATTGCACATTAACAAAGATGAACAAGAAAGGAATGAGAAGCAGATGGAAAAGGGAGGATAAAGCAGAGAGTAAATATAGGTAGTGTAAAAATAAACAGTTTATCACTTAGAGGCAACTAAATGTACATGTCCAAGACCCATCTGCATATTAGTTTTTCATGCAGGAAATTATGGTGAGTTGCTATTAGGATGAGCTTGTAACTGTGAAACTCCAAACAAAGTAGCCATAATCAATACTTATATTAATAAACAGACAGTTTAGTGGTCCTAACTGAAATCTGGTAAGATCTTGGTAGCTTGCCTTATCCAAAGGACAGCAGCAGATTTGCAAGCAGGCTGCTTCTTGCCCCTAAGTTAATGCAATGAATGTCAATAGTAACAATAAAGTAGAAAAAGATAAATTAGGTGTTTAAACACAGAAAAAATTTTTTACTTCTAGTGAAGCTGTAATCTCATGCAATGTAATGACATTGTGTGTAACTGGTGGTTTTTTTACAAACTTTGCATTGGTCCCTATAAAAATACCTTTTTTATACTGGATTTGTGTAAACATGTGAAGAATAAAATCATTCCAGTGTTGATAGTGTAGCGTGAACATTATGTTTTGTGTAGTGATATTGTCAAGTTTTTAGATGATTACCTGGCATTCTACATGTGAAGGAAAAAGGGGTGAATGTCAACAGGCTGATTAAAGGTGGACCAGTCATGACGCTTCCATGGAATTAAAAATACTAATCAGATTCTGAGCTTAGGAGACAAAAATAGAAAAAGAAGTGGATCAAGACATTGCTTCCTCTTTTATTTTTAATTTTCATTGACAAAGCTGACATTTTGTAATGCCTGGGTAAGTTTGGTTGTTATTATCTGCTTTAGCTGTAAAGAGTTAAATAACGAGTAGTCCTTTGTTGCCCGAGTGATTTGAGGGATATGTGTATATAGCATAGCATTGCTGGCTGTGGTTGACAATACAGAAGTGGGTAAGTCCAAGGCAAAAAAAAATTTGAGCTTGTTATCCTATTAAGCCTTAGCAAGACAGACAGCCCATCCTTCATGAGCTTAGAAAAGCAAACTATTCACAAAGCATCCATAGTAGCAAGCAACTGTCTGAGGAACATGAATATTGGCTCATAGTAATGGTAAGTATAAATGTCTTTTTTTTTTAAATTAGACCCTACTAGGTTGTATTCTGTAGATATTAATTGTTATAACTAATCATAACCGTTATAAGATATGAGCATTCTTCAGATTTTTTCACAGTGAGAAAATTAGAATGTTTTCTTGAATGATAGATTTTTAAGATGGATATTTACTTCCTGAGACTGTATCTTGTCATTTTAGCATGTAGGAACTTCTTAAAAGATATTTTCAGAGCATTTGATGAAGAAAAAATTATTTTATGCAGTATAAAAGAGATATAATGCACAATAAATTATGTTCTTTATTTACAAATATGTTTTTACTTATGTGATAATAAATACATGAACATTGATTGCAGTGAACTGATACTACTGGAAAAATCTGATCAGTAAGTTGAAATATTCATTATATAGTACTTGTGTTAAAATCATCACAGAATCCGGTATGGACAACACGGAGGCTACCTACTAGTTTGCTGCAGTGTAAAGCAGGACATATTTTTAAATGAAGGGAAGGATGAGAAATGTTGATGCAGAAATTAAATATCTCCAAAATCTGAAATAAATGCTTGTCCTTATTAGTACATTATTTTGTCTTTTTTGTTGCAAAAGCTCAAAATAATTAACTAAATACAAGATTACTTAGTAAGTAGGCAGAAGCTTTATAAGAAATTAGTTTAACATACCAATACCATTTTGCAGAATTTAGGAGCCAAAACCTATGACTTGACTTCTCCCTAAAAAGACAGAAATACTTGTGTATATACAGCCCATGATGGCTGAACTGTTTTTCACTACGACTTTACTGGGACTTGCATTCTCAATATGCACTTAAAGACATTTGACTGACTGCTACCGAGCGCACCCTGCCTCAGGGAGACAGCTTTAACACAATGGCAAGAATAGTATACCTACTATTTCTTTTCAAAAGATTGGTCGAAATCTATTTAACACTTTGTCTGGTGTCCCTTGCTGCTTATAGACAAGTCAAAGATAATGCAAAATCTGATTACATGGGATTTGGATTTCCTAAATATGGTAGTTTATGGCTTGTGTGATGTGTTCTTAGTTGCTTAGTCAGTAACATTCCTTGACAATCAGAACTGCAGAAATATTGACTGGTGTTTGATATCTCCATGATCTGAAAAAGGAAGATCCTGATTCAATGTGCTCATTAAAGGTCCTGCAGCACATTTCGTGAAATAGTACAGTACCTGTTGCAGATTGATCTCACTGCCCCATGCTCTTCTAAGTGTTCCATTTTGATGCTCCATCCTCAGGGCAAAATGGATACTGCCAAATATCTACTGAGGTCCGTTTGAATGGAAGCTGATTCTTAACAGTCATATAATTCACATTTTTATTAATTTTGTAAAATGCTTTAAGGTACTGTTACACACCCTATAAGTGGCTGCCTGCTTCCTTTTTTATAGAAATTTTGTAGACAACTTTTTTAAAAAGACCTGTATTTTCAGACATTTTTGATAACACATCTTGTATGTGTTTGACATAAAATACATTTTTTGGCAACAGTACTGCAAAAATGAATGTTCAGAAGTTGTTTAAATAACGTACTAGTGGAAACAATAAAAAGGCAAACCAGAAGGTACTTCAGTAGGAGATACTTCAGTGAGGCAAGTAAGGAATAGAAGAATACTGAGAAATACAGACATGCAATGGAAGTAAATTAGTAAATTCAGTATTGTTAAGGTCATCTGGGCAATGGGGACAAAAAGTAGGATTCTGTATCCAGAGGAAGGAAACAGAAGGGTTTGATTTGGTTACAAAACAGAAGGAAAGAGCAGTAAAAGGTTCTCGTTTCAGAAAGGCTTGTTTTGGGATGCTGTGACATCATTCTTCTACAGTACAGGATTCAGTGGGGAGGTATTCAGTGAGCTGCCACTGAATATAATTATAGCCATGCCTTCTATAACATAGGATACTGAAATTGTAGGAAGGGAAATTGAGAACTTTAAATATTTTGCAAAAGTATTGTGTCATCACACCATTCCTATTCAGCATTAGTAAATACATTCACCATGTTTTCCTTTGTTTTTTTACTTTGTCTTTTCTGCCTGTCTCATCAGTACTGTATAAGTTCACTGAACATGCTTGGTTAGAAAACTTAAGAACATGTTTTCACATTAAATCTCCATTATATAAATATATAAACATAAAATAACTTCTGTATTTTCAATTTTACCTTACCAGAATTTTTTAAGGCAACTCTTCTGCCTAGAAAGATGAACTCAAAGACATATGTTAGAGAAGTATTTTTTTGCCTTTATTATCACAGAATTTGTCATCACTTGCATTATCCTGAAAGAAATAGTATTACAGATGCCATTCACAGTGCAAATTAATGCATTCTAGGCTGAGGTTTAACTGTATTTATAGTGTGATATAAATACAGCCTTATTTATAATGTGATTGTTTACTCAAAATTAGATGATGTTATTCTGAGCTCACCCAAGCACTGCTGTTTGTAGTAAGAATAACCTGTCACATAGAGAACTATGTCGCTGGACATTGGCTTCCATCCAGTGAGCAGCTGAGTGCCTCTATTCCCAGCTAAGCTGATTGGATTCGTATTCTTCTCACATCCAGCAGTGGGCAAAATAGTCCCTAATGCAGGGTCTGACCCTGCAGTCCTGATGCACACAACTAATTCTTACTCAGGTCAAGAGGTCTACTCGTGACTGGGATTGAAGGTGATGAAATTCCTAATTCTGTCAGCGCAGCTCAGCTGCAGGACCAATAAAGTAAGAATAGACAAAGGCAATGCATGGATAAAATGAATGAAAAGCAAAGAACTGGTGCCACTTCTGCTGTGGTAGACTTTAGAGGAGAAAGGATAAAGTAACATATGGTAATGAAGTATAGACTGGAAAAGTTATCTTTTCAATGTTCACTTGAAATTTAAGATACCAGCACTTTTAACTCACTGAAGGTAGAATAAAAATTAATAATATATAAATAATAGAATTAGCACCTGAGCTGGTAAGACCTAATCACAAGTGAATAGTGCAAACAATCATTATAATTTTGATCTACTTACTACCAATTACGGAAATTACTAAAGAAAAATAAATAAAAAAATAGCCTAATCATCCCGTTAACCTATACCTTAAGTGTCACCTTTGACAACATGGCAAAATCTAAAATCCTCCCTCTATTAACAGCTCTGACCTTTGGCTATTTCTACTGATGGTTTCATGGCAGCTTGCTCAGACTTTTAAATTTTAGAAGGTACTAGATCACCTCCTAAAATCCTGTCATGCAGAGCCAACACTATCTACCTTCAGAACTTCCAGAGTATCCCATGCCACTAAATGCTGTGTGAGTAGCAGTAAAACTACTGATCATCTCAGACCTAGAATTTCTTCTGCAAAGTCATGTGATGTTTTACCATTACGAAACTTGGCAAAACATAAATTTCTTCTATGAGAAGAAACTGAAATGAATATGATTTTTATTATAACTGATCCACAGCACTTTCTATCTCCTTAATGTTCAAATATGTGTCTTGCAGTGTTTCCTTTTTCCACATTTTAGGTACTTTTTTTACTCTTCCATCTGTCTTGAACCATGCTAACCTTATCCCCAAAGCCATCATAATTCAAATCCATTGCTAACTGATTACAGACATGCCTATTATTCTTCCCTAAAAATTAGGCCTTAAACACTTCATGTACTAAATATATCCCTGGCCTTGTGTTGCATTCAACATTCAGTAAAATTCAGAATTTGTTTAAAGAATAATCTGTGGTGCATACAGCTGTTCAATTAACCATCAAATGTAAAGAGAGACTAAAGTAAAACAGGCAACTGTTGCTGATCTGCAAACAATTTTTAACAGTAACAATTACAAATCACATTTCCTATATTGAGATTAACCATTTCATGACCTTAGAATAGGGGGGGAAAAACATGCAAATGGAATTACTGGGGAACGACAAAAAGTAGTATAACAAATGAAAGTAGTTTGGAAACAAAACCATGAAGGTCAAAAAGGGAAAGGAGAAAGGGGAGGGGAAGGAATTGAGTTGTGTAGCATGTTCCTTAAGTTGCACTGAGAGAATTCCTAGAAGTAAAAATATTTTCCCAGTTGCAACTTAATGAGCTATAACTGAAACCTCAACTATCACAATCACATTATGGTTCTGTGTTAGGCTGTTGTTCCTAATGTCATCAATCTGCAGATCTTACATATGGCACCTCTAAATATGAGGTTGATACTGCTGGCATACTTGCATATGTAACTCTTTAAGAAAATATT